TCCATTCTGCATTTCTCCATCCAGGCAATGTGATGGAGAGAGAGAACATGGGAGTAGGGGTCAGAGGCCCAGTTTTAGGACCTGTTTTTTCCCTGTATTTCTTTCTGGTTAGGCAACCTTGTGCAAATCACTCAGTTCCCTGGCCTCTGCTTCACCATCTCTAAAGTGGGCTAACAATACTGGTTCACCATAAAGCCTGACTATGCTCATTGAAGAAATAGATGGACAAGGATGGAATTAATAAACTATAGTGATAGACTTGTAACTGATAGTTGATAGCATCTGAGAATGTCAGAAGCTGTTAGAAATCATAACTTTTTGAAACACTGTTTTTCCAAGATGCTCTGTTCCTTGTCCCCTGACTCTCCCCTCTTCCCTGCCGAGTGGCTCCCTTCTACTAACCAGATGGTGTTTGTCACATGAACTTGTCTCACACTCAAATGCTCCTCTCAAGTCTATGCAGTCTCCTTGTCTAGCCATATTTAAACAATCATCTCCAGTGCTTATGGACTTCCTGTCACTCATGACTAATGCACTGAGAACTGCTTATCTCACTCAATGTTGGCCAGAGCTCTGAGAGAGGAGGCCTATGATCACCACTCCCATTTCACAGGTGAATGCCTGAGGCTTGTCCAGGATCATGTATAACCAGCAATACCCTCAGCTAATCCTGCGTTCTAAAGCACACTACATTGCTCTGTCCAGATTGAGTGTTCTGCTCACTGGTCTCGAACAGACCCGAGTCCTGCTTGCCTTCATCCAGTCTCTCTGAGTTCCACCCTCCTCAAGACTCGTTCAACCTCACTTCCTCCTGGAAATCGTTCTTGGATATCCTGTGATCCCACCTCTGAGACTTCCTAAGCAATCTGCTCTATTACATCTTGGTACTTTTCAAACTCTGTCTCATGGTGATGGCGCAGGTAATTTCCTTCAATGTTCTCAAATCATCAACTAGATAGTACAGCAGGGATCAACAAATTTTTTCTCTAAAAAGCCAGCTAGTAAATATTTCAGGCTTGTATGTAGTCCATCAGAACTGTCTTTCACTCAACTGTGAGCCCAACTCCCATTTAGTATGGAAAAGACCATAGATAATTTCTAAAGAATGTGCGGAGCTGTTTTCCAATAAAACTTTATGGATAATGAGATTTGAATTTGTATATAACTTTAAAGCATTATGAAATATTATACCTTTAATTTTTTTGAATACTGAAATGTAGTACAAGTCACTCTTACTTGTGGTTCATACAAACACAGGTGGTTGGTTATATTGGCCTGAGGCCAGTAGTTTGCTAATTCCTCCTCTAGACCTTAACGCAGGCTCATATCTATTTTATCTTCCTATTTCCCTCATAGACTAATGGCAGGGCCAAGTAAAAGTAGCACAGATTTTGAAATACTACAAGTCTGAATTCAAGGTCCAGCTCTACTTTACATTATTTTCAGCAATAACGGGTACTTAATGATTGGTTCCATGTCTTTTTTTAAGCCACATTTTTTATTGGTACTGCTCAGTTTTTATCTTAATTCCATCTTATCCCAATAATGCAAATTTTTTCAAGTGACTCATGGGGAACAGGCTGTCACTTGTTTGGGTAAATGTTGATATTTTCTATCATTAGGGAGAACACAAAGACCTAAAAATGTTTAGCCATTCTGAACACCTCAGAAGTCCCATAGCAAATAATCAAATCTTTGTCCTACGATTATCTGGTCTACAAAACAGGAAAGATGGCTGCATATACTCAAATCCTACTTCTTTCCTGAAAAATGTTACAATAGATTTGGAAACTTCTATAACATTTTCGCATCCCATTTTTCCATTCTGACCAAAATGCTTCTACGCAGGTGTGTTGCCCTAGTTCTAAGTGTAGAGGGGCAAAGAAGTTGATTTGGAGGCAGTATCACAGCTAAGTTCTCGAACTTTGAGCTGGAATGTGGGAGCTGGATGGATGTCTTTCCATCACACATTCCAGATGGACCACAGTCATATCCAGAAGTCATATCTAGAAATATGATGCCTCAGTGTATCTTATTTTAAAATTCATTATGCAAGATACAACATTTGGGTTCCAAACTGGTTTCTGAGCTGGTTTGCAGACTGGGATCACCTGGCAGATATTTTAAAAGTGGCAATACCTGGGCACCAGCTTCAACAAATAAAATCAAAGGCTCTGGAGGTGAGCATGTAATCTACAAGTTTTGTATGTGATTTTTATGTGCAGTAAGGGCTAGGACCCACTTTATCCTCTGGCCTCTCTGTCCCTAGTAGTTAGCACAAGGCTGCCACTCCAAGTCACTGATTTGCAACCCCACAATTGGCTCAGCCCCTGGACTCCTCTGGTCTCCAGTTTTTATAAATGACCCTCCACAAATAGGTTTAAGTTTCTGCTTCTAAATATTATAAGTGATTTTCAAAACACAAAGCTAAAGTTGCATTTAATTCAGTGGGTGTGTAGGGGAGGGAGCAGAGACAGTGGGTATAGTTTGAAGCCAATTAAACTGATATAAAAATGTCATATAAAAATCTTTTCAATTTACAGTCAAAATTTTTTCAGATCCCAAAAATTCTATTAAATTTTCATGCTAACTAATAAAAATGATAGCATTTGAGATAGCACTGTTGGGCATCTCTTTTATTACTCCTGCATGTTTCTTTTTCAGAAGAGGACAACCAGCAAGAGCATAAGAAAAATTTTTTAAAAATGTATTTTGTCTTTAAAAGCTTTAAACTTTTTTCCCCCTAAAGCCCTCAAAATTGGTTTAGTTTCTTTGTGGAACCAAGCAATCACTGTAGCATTAAAACATCATTAGGCCAAAGTCAAAAATAAAGATAATGTGTTGGTAAGGTTCTTTGCAGAGTTGGTTTAAGGATAGAAGAATCTATGAGAAGTATATAGCGTTCCAAGAAGAAAAACCTCAAAACACAGTGCGACTATCATTAAGATGTTTTAAGTTCTCCATAAAAATAACATGTTATTTCTCAAATTACAGAGGCCTCTGACAGTGAAGGGTAAAAAGATTCATTCCAACTAGAAATATTTTCTCATTATTTGTGAACCTCTCAACTTTGAAAGCATTCAGTAATTTCTGTGACTTAAAGTTATTTAAGGGAATGTGCTCGTGATACATTTTACACCTAGAAACAATCAGATCCAAGTTCTCTGGGTTATTTTAGTTAAGTGCCAGATTGTCCAATTATTATTGTTTAAGTAGAAATGTTTTTATGAAGTAAATTGAAAAGGTATTTTATGGAGAACAATTTCAGTAGCAGATGATATTAACTATCAGTACCCAATTTTGCAGAATTAGACTAGATTAGATTAGATTAGACTCTAATCTATAGAGTAATTTATTGAAGCAGTTAAGTGGATAGATTGCCCAGGTGTCAAAGTTAGACTCTGTTCCTTCTAGAGGTTTGTGGACTTGGACAAATCCTTTATCTCACTGCAATTTGATTAAATGGAGATGATAAAAGTGCCCACATTTCACAGAAATATTGGAAAGACAAAAGATGAAGGAGGACAAAGTTTTTTGTTGTTGTTGTTGTTGGGACTGGGGTTTGAACTCAGGGCTTCAAGCTTGCAAAGCAGCCACTCTATCACTTGAGCCATACCTCCAGTACAAAGCACAAGATTTTGACGCTCAGTTAGTAACCAGAAATCAGATCTGAGTGTCTTATCCTAATGCACAAGATGGAAACTATTCATATTCTTAGCTGCAGAACTTTCCAGAACTCCCTGGGCCTATTTCCAATCAGCTGGACTAGTTTGCAGGCACTAGGAAGACTAGGTGATCTCCTTAAACTGGCAGGCTCATGCAGCGTGACAGGAACGTTTTATGCAAGAAAGGCTCTTATTTTCATCCCTCTTGGATTGAAGCAGGGCTTAGCAGGAGAGTGAGCAGATCTGCTTATGCGTCATAGGCTTGGCTTGGGGCTTCCAACCTGCTTCTTGCAGGCCTGGGTTTTTCCTGGGTCAGTCTACACAGCCAGCCTGCATCTGCCCAGATGACAGGTGAATGAGCTAGGCCTCAAGGGGGCTTGAATGTCATTAATCTGGCTGAGCTTCTGCAGTCATCTGACTCTGTGACAGGGCACTGAGAAGCCCAATGACCCAAAAAAGAAAAAAATCAAAACCCAACAAGCAACACTCACTGGGGGAAAATTCCTTCGTACTTCAGAGCCTAAAACCCAGCCAGCTGCTCCCTCCCAGGTGAACCACCAACAAAAGTGCACAAAGAAGCCTTGGGGTGGGCAGGGGTGAGGACACATCAGTCATTTGATTAGAAACAATCGATGGCTTGAAAGTCATGGTTTAACTTTGCTTTACTTCTTTCATCATTGATATTTTGCTAGTGCTCATTACATTTTTTTTTCTAAAATAAGGTTTAAAATGGAAAGTAACAGACCCCATCAGGCAGTTTTAGGCTATAGGTAGACAGAGTGCTATTATCACAGGGGCATGGGGGTAGAAGGGTGTCATGGGAAGGCCGCACTGAGGTACTTTGAACTCATCCAGTTTTGTGGCCTAAACTAAACATGCCTTTGGGTCACCCAGAGTCAGCTGAGGCAGGACAGGAAGGAGGACAGACAGAACAATTGGGTGTTTAAAAGAAGCCAATGTACGCCAGAGTTTGCTTCCTATTGAACATTCTCTTGCTGATGCCTGCAACATACCACCACTGGAAGGGTGGACTCAGAAAGGAGTGGGAGTGAATTTTTACTTGAGGGGACTGGCTCTCCAATGGACAGATCACTGAAGAATTACAGTGATCCCTGTCCAGAGTCAAATCTCAGGGAAATCCTCACAGCACCCACCCAAGACCCTGAAGTATATCAGGGAAGAGACAGGTTGGGGAGTCTGCTTTCTGCTTGCCTTGAAACTCTGAGGGTCCTGAAAAGTTTTTATTTTATTTTATTTTTTTTTTTGTGGTGGAAACTACTTTAGGACAACCTCAACAGACTCACGAGTGGATAACTTTGGGCTCTTGAGACTTACCCGTACTACGTAGTTGAATCTTCTGGAATCCAGAATTGCTGTTGAGAAGTCCAGTCTGTTGAAAGCTTCCCCCAAAGTACAATAGCCATGGCGCTGAATGTGAGACAGGCATGCAAGTTACTCCTGACACACAGAGGTTATTCTCTAGAACAATTCAACTGGATTTGAAACCTGGGCACTGGCTTCTTTCCTGCACCTGAATCCCTGGGAGCCACCAATGTGGGCAGAGCTGCTTTAGTCCAGGACTAACACGTGGAACACCCCTCCTGTGACGTGTGCCACCTGGGCTCTTGTTCTCTGAATGCACTAGTTAGGGAAAATACATCTGGGAGCTGGATATGATGTGAGATTTTCATGGGTGGTGACTGTAACGAAGTCCTGGGAGGGGAATGAGATCCACCTGCATCGGCTGTGGTACCACAGCCTCTCACTGTCAGCACTTTTTTTTTTTTTTAAAGACTTTATGAGGAAGTAAAAGAAGTTTTGATCTTTCATCTAGGAATCCATCCAGGAGTACAGTGTTCTGGTCACAGTCCCAGCTCCTCTAAGGCTCTAGGTAGTCTGGTTTTTATCACTGGTTCTTTGTGGATCTCAGATCACAGAGGAAAGGAATTAGATGTTCTCCACACTCCCTGACAATGATAGAAATTCTGGCATTCTGTTGTTCTGCACAGTATCCCAGGTATCTGAGCAGAGAGTAACTGTACATTCAGGGGTTATCAAGGACCAGAGAGTATAGTTATTATAAGGTCTTATCCCCTCCCACATCACATGGAGAAGCACTGCAAACTTCTGCTAGATTTAGTAATTAGCCCTTCCAGGGCTAAACCTTAACCAAGTTAAAGTCTGAAGAGATCTTAGAACACAAGCAGGGTAATGTCCTGGGGAAAAACCTAGCTTTTGTAATAGTACTGTTGTGATCAGCATGTTAATCTTCCCAAGGCACTTTTATGTACACTATCTCACTGGATGACTGGGGAGTTCACCGAGTGACTTGCTTCTTTCTCTCTGGAACCCTCAACTCTCACAGTTCACTAGGTACAGGCTGCTAGCCACCACCACCCCACACCTAAGAAGACAAACCAGGTTTGTAGTCTTATTGTTGCCCACTTTCTCCCTTTGATTTCAGAGAGGAATAAGTCTAAGAATAATGGTTTAAAAATGGATGGATGCTCACCTCTTTAGTACTTCCCTTGTGAACATAGATCCATTTTTCTTGGTGGAAATCTATAAAGAGCAAAATGAAAACAGATATATGCCTTAAAGTTTTGTAACATGTCCTAAGATTTTAAACATGACTCTTTTTCATTTATTCAAAGTTTAAAAACTTTATTTTTTTTTTTTTGCGGTTCTGGGATTTGAACTCAGGGCCTACACCTTGAGCCGCTCCACCAGCCCTTTTTTGTGTTAGGTATTTTCGAGATAGGGTCTTGTGGAATTAATTGCTGGGGCTGGTTTCAAACTGCGATCCTCCTGTCTCTGCCTCCTGAGTAGCTAAGATTACAGGCACGAGCCACTGGCGCCCGGCTAAAAAAAAAGTTTCTCTTATTTAAAATTATTTTTTATTTGTTTTGAAACAGGTTCTTGATATATAGCTCAGGCTGGCCTTGAACTCAAGATCCTCCTGCCTCAGCTTCCTGAGTGCCAGGATTATAGACACACACCACCATGCCCTGCTAAAAAGTTTTGACAAAAAAGTAAAAAGACTACTGACATTCTAGAGGATGCAGATGTTTAATTTCTTTTCTTTCTGTTGTTTTGTGGTACTGGGGAATGAACCCAGAGCTTGCTTGCTAAGCTAAACAAGTGCTCTACCACTTGAGCCACAAGCCTAGCTCTAAACGCTTAATTTCTGTAGTATAAAATACTCACATGAATTTACTTTGTCTGAAGCACCCTGAATCTGTGATAGATTTAGTATACCAAGGCTCCAAATTAATCTAATACCCAAGTACATTTAGTTTAAGTGCCATACATAAAACTTATATGAAGCCATAAAAAGTAGAAACAGAAGGGGTAACATAGATGACACACAAATAGATTAAATAAAAATAACTTATAATTCATACTTATTAAAAGAACATTCTGTCTTCTGCTAATACAGCATCTAGACATGCTGGTAGTTTTTATACAAGGAAAGAGGGAACAAGTCTATTTTCAAAGCCTTTAAACACAGTTCCCAATAAAAGCATATGGTGGCATTGATTCAGCTGACCACATCACTGTACAATAACTATATAGCATCTGTCAACACACAGGGAACACACATCCCAACTAGCAAGTGACTTCTCAACAGGACTATGAAGAGCATGTTAAATCTTGCTTATGAAATGCATGGCCAGGT